TAATATTCTAAATGACAACTATGGAGTTGACTAGTTGGGTATGTCTATGATTAAAAAATCAACATTAAGGATGAGAAAAGAAATTAAGTTAGTTTAAAACATAGGAGTAAATTTTAGAGGTAACATTAGGGTTGCTGAATGTTAGTTAAATATGTCGAAATGTTCATGAAATTTGCTCATTTGAAGGGAGTAGTATATTAGAGCATTGAGAGCCAGAAATATGTGTAATATTGAATTTACATACAAGTAGTGTTACACATATATACTCCTAAGCTACCTTATAAATTATCTTTAATTCTTCCAAAAAAAAAATGATCTTTAATTGTAAAATACTTTTAAATTAGGAGTTAGTCGCAATAAAACACGCACTAACGCAGATATGACATAACAGCCAACGATTATACATGAGTGACTTTACTCAATCTTGACTTGGAATCAACAAATTTTAAAAGTTTTATTTTACCACAAAAAAATTTCTAAAAATTGTTTTTTATCACCTACCATCAAGAAAACCGTTAAATTTAACGGTTAAAAAAATTTCTTCGATTTTCGTGCGCAAAACATGTTGATCATGGGTTTAAGGGGGCATTTGGCCCAATGAGTCCAATTTGAAGTCAAAATTGACAAAAAATGATCAAAAATGCCTCCTTTTGCATGTTATACGAAAACCAAGGTATTTTAAAACACGCAAAAGGAAGAATTTTCGATCATTTTTTGTCAATTTTTGACCTCAAATTAGACACAAAAGGGCCAAAATGCCCCCCAAAATCCCTAAAGATGATGTGTTTGGCACGGAAATCGAAAAAGTTAAAATATTCCAATAGTTTTTTGACAACATGTGGTAAAAAATTATTTTTAATTTTTTTTTGAAATAAAATTTTTAGAATTTTGGTAGTAAAAACAATTTTGTGATTTTTTAGTTGATAAAAGTCAAAAAATCCTAATTTAATTACATGTTTTTGGAGATTTATAAGATTTGTTGAGCACAAATTGCTGTTGAAAAAGCTGGTATTTTAAGCTATTTTTTGTGGGATTTTCCTTGTTTTTATGTTAAAAAAAGGTTCGGAGATTTATAAGATTTGTTGAGCACAAATTGCTGTTGAAAAAGCTGGTATTTTAAGCTATTTTTTGTGGGATTTTCCTTGTTTTTATGTTAAAAAAAGGTTCAATGCCACAGCATTGTTGGAGAAGCTAAGGAACAAAAGACTTGTGTACGTGGGAGATTCCTTGAATAGAGGGCAATGGATCTCTATGATTTGTTTGGTGGATTCCTCAATTCCTTCTTCCCTCAAATCCATGCAAACCAATGGCTCCTTATCAATCTTCAAAGCAATTGTAAGTACCCTTGCATCCATTTATAGCACTATAATTCTTATGTGCACCCGAGTACTTGTATAATTAGGTGTGAGTTGTTAAGGTGTCCATGATGAATTTTTGTTTATTGTTTTACTATCTGAGCAATTTTTAGCTCATTTCAAATAAGACAAAAGACACAAAGTATCACATTTATACCTAATTGTTGTACGTATTTGGGTGTATATTAGAGGTTGTATTGAAATAATGAAGGAATTGATAAACTAATGAAAAATAAATTGATGTGGACAATGCAGGAATACAATGCGACAATAGAGTTCTATTGGGCTCCGATGTTGATCGAGTCGAATTCGGATGATCCAGTGAAACACCGGGTGCCCGAGAGAATAGTGAGAACCCAAGCAATTGAGAAGCATGCTAGACATTGGACCAACGCTGACTTTCTTGTTTTTGACTCTTATTTGTGGTGGAAAAGGCCCTTCATGAAAGTATTGTAAGTATCTCTAATATACTGATTTAATTCTTTACTTTATAATAAGGAAATTTTGTAAATTACCACCTAAAAAAAGTATCAATTCCTAAATAACCACCCGTTAAAAATTTTATTTTAAATTATCACCCACTAAATAAATTTTTTGCGCAAATTACCACCTTTTTTAAATTCCGGTGGAATTTAGATGTATGGGGCCCACAGTCGTTACTTCCCTCCTAATTTTTTTTTTCTTTTTTGTCGATTTCACTATTGTAAGCTATTGAAGACTACTCCTCTCTCAACTCTCTTATTCAATTCTCTCTGCAAATCCACCTATCTCCATAATTTCTCACCCACTCTTCAAATTAGGATCCTAAATTGCTGATTAAAACCCTAAATTAGTTTTAGTTCACAAATAATGGTACTCCTTTCTAATTGGGGGTTTTGCTTGAAGCTTGATTGCGAATTGAAAGTAATTGCAATCACAATTTTCCCAGAATTAGCAGCAATTCAATGACAGAATACCAAAATTGAGTGTTGTACATGAACCCTAATTAACTAAACACTCAATTTTCCCCAATTAAATTACAATAAGAACCCTTCTTTGCGAAGAAAATCAACCCTAATCAACTAATCAACCAGTTTTCTCCAATTTAAGTACAATAAGAACCCTAAATTTAAAGAATGAAAGACTTTACCTTATGCGAATTCACCTATGAAGTTTCTTGAGGACGCTTCTGCAATTACAAGCTAGATGATATGCTTGGGGTGAACTTTGTGGAATTTGGGGAGAAATTGCAGTATAAATCGCAAATTAGGGTAGGAGATATGTTATATAGGAAAAAATCAGGGGGAATTCATTTGGGAAGCAAGAACTAGCCGTTATTAGCCATTAGGAGGGCCCCACACATTTGAATTCCACTAGAATTTTAAAAAAGGTGGTAATCTGCGCAAAAAATTAATTTAGTGGGTGGTAATTTAAAATAAAATTTTTAACGGGTGATTATTTAATTAGAAATTGATACTTTTTTGGGTGGTAATTTACAAAATTTCCTTATAATAATCTTTGCAATATTTTGTTTGAATTTGAAATTATACTTGTATACGTTGAGAAACTATATATAATACCGGCAAATACAAATATTGTGTGGTTACTCCATACATTTAAGAGTTTTTGATAGTTTATTCAATTCTTACAAACATAATGTTTACTTTTTGTGTTACTCCATCATGTTAAGATTTTTTTTTTCTATTTATGACTATGTTATGTATGTGAAATTTGTTAAGGTGGGGAAGTTTTGAAAGTTCAGACGGAATATATAAGGAGGTAGAAATGCTAAAGGGTTATGAAATGGCTCTTAGGACTTGGTCAGATTGGTTGGAAATCCATGTTAACCATTCCAAAACTCAGATTTTTTGGATGAGCATGTCTCCCACCCATGAAAGGTACATTTGGTCAATTACTCAATCGCGTTACATAAATGTTTATGCAACTTATGGGTCATATAAAATGGATATTTGCTTATATATGCAGGAGTGAAGATTGGGGTGGAGTAAGCGGGTTAAATTGTTACAATGAAACTCAATCAATAAAGAAGAAAGATTATTGGGGAAGTGGATCAGACACGAATATGATGAGACTAGTAGAAGCAGAAATTGAGAATTTGAACGAAAAGGGGTTAAACATCCAAATACTCAACATAACTCAACTCTCGGAGTATAGGAAAGAGGGTCACCCATCAATTCATAGAAAGCAATGGGAGCCTCTAACAGACGAACAATTATCAAACCCTAGTGGATATGCTGATTGTATACATTGGTGTCTTCCGGGTGTACCAGACACTTGGAATGAAATCCTCTACACTTACATTAATAGTTCCTTATAACATGTGGTATAAATTTTTTCTTTGTGTTTGAAGGGCTATAGTCATAGTATAGTTTGCTTGCATAGAATGATTTAAAATTAATTACCTTTGTGATGTTGTGGATTTTGCAATGGCCAAAGGCCTAAGCATAGTAAGCACTAAGCAATGCATTAATGTTGTGGATTTTGCAACGGCCAAAGGGCCTAAACAATGCAAAAGCAGTGTATAAGATTTTGCAATGGCCAAAGGGCCTAGACATGCAAAAACCTTGTATAAGATTATAAGGAAAACAAATTGTTAAGTTCTTTGATGGAGAGATTGTTTCTACTTTTCTTTTGAACATACCTCTTTAAATATGTGATAGTTCTTCCATTTTGTATCAATAGCAATGCATTTCTTTTCAATCTGTTTCGTATTAATTGTGAAATTTTCTTATTTAATTAATAAGTATTATTCACTTTTATTCTACAATACTGTTATTTTTCTCTCTCACTAACCTCACTTGTAGAATTATTTTATTATTTTTTTTCCTACTAACTATCAAATATTTCCTCACTAATTAATCAAACTCATTTAGTTTAAGAATAGATCATGCATTAAAAAAAAAATCAAAAACTAATGGCTTGTTTGGCATCGTTTTTTGTTTTCAGTTTCTTGTTTTTTTTAAAACTAAAAACCAAAAAAAGAAACAAGAAAAAGGTGTTTCCACTTTTCTGTTGTCAGTTTTCAAAATTATCATTATTTTAATAAGTTTGAATAATTTTTGACTCATTATGTGACTTATATTATATGGTTTTAAAAAACAAAAAACCAAAAAACAGAAAACCACAGTGATGTCAAACGAACCCTTACGTATTCATTGATTGAAGACCCTACCCAATTTTCTTTTTTTTTTTCTTTTTTTTTTAATTAGCAAAAATCAATTATTTGCTACAATATAACTATTGATGCATTTATGGAGGTGAGCAAGTAATAAGTAAAATGAATCAAGGAAAAAGGTGAAACAACGTTGTTACTTTGTTAGGACTAGGGGTGTACAAAAATTGGCCCGGACCTGAAACCGGACCTGAACCGACCTGAACCGGACCGGACCTGACCCGGACCTGTTGATTCAGGTCCGGTCCCGGTTCTTAAAAATCCAGGTTCCCGGTCCCGGTCCGGACCCGGTCCAAACCCGGGGTTTTCAGGTCCAGACCTGAAACCCGGGAAAATCGTAATTAAAAAAAAAAAAAAAAAAAAAAAAAAAAAAAAAAAAAAACAAGAAAATATCTGATTCTCTCAGCCTCCCTCAATCTCTTTCATATTTTTAAGTTCTAACCCTAACTCCCTAAGCCCAAATTGATTCTCTCAGCCTCCCTCAATCTCAACTTCTCAACGCGGCTGTCCTGCTGTCCCAACTCGCTCCGACCACCGCCCACTGCCGACACCTCCCTCATTCTCTCAGGCGATGCACACCGATAATATCTGGTAAGTATTTGCTTATAATTTTGGTATTTTTAATTCGAAATAATAAATTTAAGTGTGAGAATTTATATGTTTATTCTTGTTTCAAATTTTCAATTGCTTTTAATGATTGTTTGATGTTTGCATGTTGAATTTCTTATTTTTAGTTCATCTCTTTCGAATTTCTGTTTTTTTTTTTGGTTTTTTTGAGTTTAGGGTTCATAAGAATTAAGAAGTTTAGAGTTTAGGGTTCAAGTGCGAAATTTAGTTCGAAATTTTGTGTTTATTATGATTATTAAGATTAATTTAGTGCGAAAATTTGTGTGGTAGGGTGGGTTGGGGTGGGGTTATGGTGGGGTTACGGTGGTACGGTTCTGGTGTGTGGGGGTTAAGGGTTAAGGGGTGGCAGTGGGGTGGGGTGGGGTGGGTTGGGGTGGTGAGCAGGGGTGTGGGCAGTGGTGGATCTGGGTAGGGTAAGGGTTAGGGATGGGACTGTTTTAATTTTGCTACGTTGTTAGGTGTTCTCATCTAAAGATGAAAACTCGAGGGTTAAGAAATGGCTAGATGAGTATTGTTTATGATAGAAAATGTGTATTCAATTACCTTGAGCCCCTCTGCAGTACAATCAGAGACTTGCCAACCGTGATCTAGTGTTGAGAAAGTCCATGCACCTTTACAAATATGTCTATACATCTCCTTGAAATTTCCTGATGGATTCTCCTTAACCTGTTGCAATAGATCATAATAAACATTATTAGTTCAAATAATTTAAACTAATTTATAAGGTATGAATTCAAGGAGAATTGGACAAGAAACTCTATTTACATTTGAAAAACTTGTATGAAATACTTAAACCCTCTTCACTGTAGTTTTTTTTTTTTTTTTTTTTTTTTTGAAACCTTTTAAATGGAAGTTAAAGGTTTATAATGTTCTCTCATTTTTTTCTTAACATAAATTTCAGAAAGTTGAAAGTATTTCTAATGTGTATTGATATTTCTAATGTGTATATATGGACACTTTTTAAGCTAACTTATACTTTAAAATTTGTGTTTATTCCTGCTAGGCTGCTAAAAGTATGGACTCAGATTATTAAGATTAAATAAGTTGGCTAACCTGTGTGTAGTTCAGGGGTTCTTATTTTTGTTTTTATTCTTGCAGGGAGTGAAGGAAGTCAAGGAACCACAGATTCTTATTCTTGCAATGTAAGTTGCTCTTAAATTTTTTTATAAAATGGTATGTGTATATAATTGTTACTTTAAAATTACTTATATTGTATATAATTATATTGTAGATGGAGAGCTCTCAATCCAAACGGTCTGCTTCTTTTTCTGAACAAACGTCACAGCCACTTTCTGAAAAGGATATGGAAGAATTGCAATCTACTTTGCCTCCTGATAAGAAGCTAAAAGCGGGGCGGGAATATATATGGAACAGAAAAAGTAAGAGGAAAGCTGAGTATTGGAAATATTACTTAGAGTACGTCGAGAATGGAAAACTACGAGCTGAATGTAAGTTCTGTCCTAAAACTTTTGCTGCTGATGGTAATCTTAATGGTTCAAAAAATGTTAAAAACCATGCAGAATCATGTCTCGGTAATCCTATTAATATAGAAAAAGAAAAGGGCAAAGAAAAGCAAACTAAATTGTATTTTGATCAAGAACATGAGAGTAGTGAATTAAAGTGTGGGAGTAGGATTATTAACTTGAATGATGTTAGAGAGGCATTGATTCACATGATTATTGTTGATGAGTTACCATTTAAGCATGTGGAAAAAACCCGGTTTTAGGCACTTTGTGCAAGTTGCATGTCCACAATTTCACATTCCATCTCGTGTTACCATTGCTCGTGATTGTTTAAAGTTGTATTATAGTGAAAAAGAGAAATTGAGAGAAATGTTTAAGACATGTCAAAGAATTTCTGTGACCAATGATACTTGGACTTCAATACAAAGAATTAATTATATGTGTCTTACAGCTCATTTCATTGATAATGACTTGAAATTGAATAAAAAGATCATAAATTTTTGTCCAATTTCTAGTCATAAAGGAGAGGCTATTGGAAAAGCAGTTGAGGCATGTTTAGAGTATTGGGGTATTGATGATAAACTTTTTACTGTCACTGTTGATAATGCTTCTTCAAATGATGTTGCTTGTGCACACTTGAGTAGAATGGTTAGAAGAACAGGATGTATAAATGATGGAAAAAATCTTCATGTTAGATGCATTGCTCATATCATTAATTTAATTGTGTGGGATGGTATTAGAGAACATGGTGTGTGCATTGATAGAGTTAGAAATGCTGTGAAATATGTTAAGAATTCCCCTGCAAGAATACTTAGATTCAAAGATCTTGTGCAAAAAGCAAACATAGATTCAAAATCTTCTTTATCCTTTGATGTCCCCACTCGTTGGAACTCCACATACATAATGTTGGAAACGGCTTTGAAGTTTCGACGTGTTTTTAGTGGGTTATCTCTTCCTGATGGAGAGGATTTGAATGACAATGAAAGGCCTCCCGAACCCGAAGATTGGGAAAAAGTGGAGAGGTTGGTTTTGTTTCTAGAGGGGTTTTATCTGTTAACTAAACGAATTTCTGGTTCCCATTATGTGACAGCTAATAAAGGTTTAGGAGAAATTGCTTCTATGTATGATATGTTGAATAATTGGGAACAAAGTGAGGACTTGAATTTTCAAGCCATGGCCATTGCAATGAAAAAAAAGTTTGATAAGTATTGGGGGGATGTGGATAAGATGAATAAGTTCATTTATGTTGCTCTTCTTCTCGACCCTCACTCTAAGATGGTCATTGTTGAATTGACACTAACGGATATGCATGGACCGGAAAAGGGTACAAAACTTGCTAATGATGTGAAGGAGTTCTCTTACTCTTTATTTGAGGAATATAGAAAAATGTATGCTACTTCTAATATTCCAGATTGTGGAGATAATATGTCAATGGATATTGATAATAGTAAAGGAGTGGGTTCCGATTATGTGAGGAAACTAAAAGAAAGAGCAAAACGATTGAAGGGGACAAGTGGGTATGCGATAAGTGAGTTGGATAGGTACTTAAATGATCAATTAGGGCCGGAGGAGGAAGAACAAGATGCATTGACATGGTGGGGTAAGAATGGTCAGCGTTATGTGATTCTTAATCGCATGGCACGTGACATACAAGTCATCCCATTGTCGACCGTTGCATCGGAATCTGCTTTTAGTACGGGAGGTCGTACTCTAGATCCATTTCGGAGTTCTTTAACTCCTAAGGTAATGCATCGTTATCTTTTTATTTTATAAAATCAAGTTTGTTTATATCTTAATATGACTTTGTTTATACATATTTGTGTAATATTTTTGTATTGAAGATGGTTCAAGCGTTACTTTGCACACAAGATTGGCTTAGAGCTAAGGAAGTGCCAATTGTTGATGTGGAAGAAAATTTGAAAGAGTTAGAGGAAATAGAGAAAGGTAGTAATAATTTTATGTATTTGAAATTTTGTTACACCAAATTTATTATTTCATTGTTATCAATCATTAATATATTCTATATTGTATTTTATTTAGAGGTGCAACGTGGTGAATCTAATGATGTAGACGATGAAGTTGTTTTCGTGGACTCATTAGTGTGAATCACGCGATCAAAGGGAAAACAACTCGTTGGAGAATTTATGTATTTCTAGTACTTGAGAGTTGAGACTTAAGAGAATTTATGTAATTTTATGAGTTTTCGTGGACTTATTTGTATTTTCGGTGGACTCATTTGTATTTTTGGTGTTTGAGAATCGGGACTTTATAGACTTTATGTAGTTTTGTAATTGATAATTTTGGTTTGTATGTAATTATTAAATTATGCAACAGGTCTAAAAATCACAAAACAAGTCCATATGCAGGTCCATATGCAGGTCCAACAGGTTTTGTATTAAAAAAAAAACGAAAAAGACACAAAACAGGTCCATTCAGGTCCAAACCCGGACCGGACCTGATTTTTCAGGTCTGGCCCGGAACCGGACCTGTTAATTCAGGTCCGGTCCCCGGTCCTCATAATTACCCAATTCAGGTCCCCGGTCCAAACAGGCCCGGTCCAGATCCGGTCCGGTTTTGGACCGGTGTACACCCCTAGTTAGGACTTCATGGACTGATACGTTTTGGCACCAATTCATCTTCCGTGACCTTGCTTTTGGAGCTTGGATTATAGCCGAAGTTAGATATTTTCACTGAGCTTACTCTCTATTCCCAGGTATATATGGTCCTACATTTCTTACATCTTTTGGATGTTCCTCATAAATGAATTTTTTGTCGCGTTATTGATTTCGTTTTTTTAAGTGTTATACTCTTTATTTATATAATCATTTTTTATATGTACGAAATACTCTATTTGTTCTAAAATAATTAACATGATGAATTTTTATCTATAAAGTGTGAAATATCATTTTGAGCTTCTTTTAGTTACATCATATTATTGACAATTTTTTTTGGACATATTGTTGACATTTTTTTCATTTGTACTCGATATCAATAGCTCATCAACGTTATTGCCTCATAAGGACTCAACTCCATTGACCGATAGATTTTTCCCCATCTTTATCAAGAGGTTTTCCCAATGTGAATATTATTTTTATTTTTTCTTTAATTTTATCTTTAGTCATATAGATCGTCCCAATTTAATGTCATGCCGTTAACAAAATTTGGCATGAACCAAATACTCAAGATTTTTGTTCAACTATATATAGTAAATCTTTTAATCTTGAATTATTATTCTTATATTAATTAGTTATTATGTAGATCTCTAGATGAGTGAAAAATAATGAAACCAACAAGAATATCAGATCATTGTTTACATCTAACACTATTCTCCATTTTATAACCTCGTGCATTACACAAATTAACACCCATTATTATATTAAGGGGTATCATGGTGATGATTCAAACAAAGAATCGAAGTATCTACAATAAAATTATATCCAGGATTATTATGCTGTTGTTTTCAATAAGGTCAAAGTTGCTACCTAAGCTTACTCCAACCTTGGCACATGTATTTTCACATTAAATAAATATTCCAATAATTCATTCATTTTTCATACACCCAAAACTAACCAACTCCATTGAAAATATAAACCATCTCCTACACCAAAAACTAACCCAACCATTTCAAACTCATTAGATCACAATTATAAGTTCATTAACCAAACCCACAAAATTCTTAAACAAAAATGGCTAATAATTAAGCCTAATACACAACCTCAAATAAACCACAATTATACTAACATTAATAAAAACACTATGTCATCATTATCTTCTTCATCATGGGGTATTAGAACTAGCTTTCAACTTTTAACACCACTTATCCTTCTTGTTCTTGTTATCTCTATCTTCTACTTCACCCAAGACGACGGATCGAGTCTCAAACTCGATCCGTTATCTCCATTGTCATCGCCATCATTGTCGCCGCCTTTGGTAAACGACAATGAGGTTGTTATTAGGGATGGCAATGATACAAAGGAAGAAGTAAAAATGTTGCAAAAAAAGTGTGATTATTTTACGGGAAAATGGGTGTTTGATAATAAAACATACCCTTTATATGATGGAAAAGGGTGTGAATTTTTGTCAGATCTTATGGGTTGTGAGTTTTTTGGACGTCAAGATTTGAGTTATCAATATTGGAGATGGCAACCTCACCATTGTGACCTTCCAAGGTGTGTTCTTTTTCTCTCCTTTTTTTAAATTTTTTTTAAGGTTTTTATTTTCTTACAAAAATTTGTGAAAATGATGAGATAATATTTTTTGTTGTTAGAAGATACCAACAAGGTTACTACCTAGGAATTTTCACGTATAGTACAAAATTTTAATTTTGCATCATATATATCTCTTTTTTTTTAATAATTTTTTTTTTTGAAACTCCTTTTTTTAATTATTAAAATTTATCATTTTATTTATGCTCTTTCAAATTATCAATTATATTGCCTCCGACCTCCATTTAATTCTTGTTTCAAGGACTAATTTTTAAATATAAGTAAATTTAATTAAATGAAGTTGATAGAGTTGGAGATACAAAATTAATTTAAATTCAATTGGTTGCTTAAATTGGAAAATCACTTGTAATATTTATATTATAATTAACTCAAGGTAATAAACTAAACAAAAGAACGAAAATAGTTCAGTAAGTAGTTTGGCCTAACAAATCAGCTTGAGTTCACTTGAAATACAATGTTTCTATTGCATATACTACTATATAGGTTGAAAATTCAAAAAAACTAACTTGCCAATGGAATAAATTGCTTAGAATAGTATAACTAGAGAAGATGATGTGACAATAATTCAAAAGTAGGGGATAAAATAGCTAGCAATTAGAGTTGTTCTCAAAATGAATTAGGTGACAAATGAGTGAGTGAAAAAGTGTGATTATATGAATAAGAGGGTAGAGAAATAAAGAAGTTTGCCAATATTAGAATAAACTAAAAGTGAGTCGAATATTCTGAAGGATTCAATGAGTTGAACTTTTGGGAATGGTGAAAGTATAAGCATTTTTACTTTACAAACACTTCTTTCTTCTTAAAGAGTTACCCGTATTAGTTATTGCATTTATAATGAAAATATGATAAAAGTAGAAAAACTAAACTAGTTGATATATAATTTAGAAATGAAGAATAATTATGTTTTCTCACAATGTAATACTTTCTCCATTACTTTTCAATTTTTATGCTTTGACCATTTTTCTGTCTCGCAAAAAGATTTTAAAGGCAAAGATTAAAAAGCGAAGAAGAAAACGAGAGAATAAGTCATTAAAAATTGTCCTAAAAAAAGTCATTAAATTATGTAGTATCGAATAATTGATCCCATCTATCCGGAAAAAAAAAATTATTATGTCCAACTATAAATGCGGTTTAACCGCTGCTAATTATTGACTTTGGATCAACAAATTTACTACCAACTATTGTACTAAGACAGAATTAGAACCAATAACAATTAAGAAATCAAAATGTCAAACCTAATCTTGTTGACGTTTTGTTTTGAGCGTACGTACATTTCTAAATACTCAATATATTAACTCTAAAAGTACAATTTTAATAACTAATTCTGACACTACTATATGGCCATATGGGAGTAACGATTAAGTAGTAACAAGTTAGCAAGACTCATTATTAAAAATAAAGACTACTTACTTACTTAGACTAGTTATCAGCCCGAGTAATACTTTATGTTATTGTGTTGTAGTACGTTTGTACAAGTGTAGTTTATTCTTCTATTTTCTAATACGTGTTTTCCAGTATTAATCTGTGGTTAGTTGAAGGTAGTATGTATTTTAAGGTACTTGTGGGATTTATTTCCTTTGTGATGTTAAAAAAAGGTTCAATGCCACAGCATTGCTGGAGAAGCTAAGGAACAAGAGACTTATGTATGTTGGAGATTCTTTGAATAGAAATCAATGGGTCTCTATGATGTGTTTGGTGGATTCTTCAATTCCTTCTTCCTTCAAATCCATGCAAACCAATGGCTCCTTATTCACCTTCAAAGCCTTTGTAAGCATTTGCTTTTTCTTCGTTGATCCATGATTTTAGTTTGATTATTTTTATATATATTTACATGTTAAATGACAAATTTGACAAATTAATCAAGTCTTTACGTCCAAAAACTTTATAAATTAAAGTTTTTGACACATATAAGATTATAGGAGCATCCAGATGAGCAACATGCATATAATCATTAATACAAAGTCTTATATGTGGTTAGCCACATGGTGTGACCACTTCACATAATCACATATAAGACAATTAATTATGTAATAGGGGGTTACAGTGACGAGCAAATGAGATTACTCTAACGTATGTAAGTTACTTAAATGAGAAAAAAGGGTTACTTTCTTAAAAAAAGTGGAATTATTCTTTCATTTTTTAAAACAAAAGAATATGGGTTACTCGAATGAACAAATGAAGTTACTTATTTCTAAATTACTTGATTTCACTCGTATAATGAATTTGGTTTACTATTGTGGAATGGGAAAATACAAGTTAATATGCCAGATAAACGAATTTTTGTTAATCTGATGGCATTTTTGTAAATATATTGAAAAAGCAGGGTAATTTATTCAGTACTTTTGGTGAGATGTCCAATTACTGTTTGCCTTTTGCTTTTACTGTTTGGTGAGGAAATTACACATGAACCCCTCAACTAATATATGAAAAGATGCATATACCCCTCCACTGATACTTGAAAAGACAATTATACCCCCAGATAAACAATATGGGGAATTGTCTGGGTATCCCTTGGAATGGAATACAAGAGGTTACTCTTATGAAAAAATGAAATTACTCATACATATAAATAAAGATTACCCTTATAAATCAATGTGGCCACATCGTGTGGCTAGTCATATACAAGAGTTACGCAATGACGAATTACTCCGTATTAGATTACACGTATGAGAGTATGAGAATGGTATAAGAGCATGATTAGCATTGTACTTTGTAATTCAAATTTATGTCGTTTCATTAGATCTAATATATTATTTTAAATTTTATCTTCTTTGATTTCATACAAATTATTAGTCTACATGTTCAATTTCTTAAAATAATCTACATCATCATCATTATCATTATCATCAGTGTTACTACTACAAGGGTTCCAGAAGAAAACATAAAATAAGTATGACATAAATAAAATAAAATAGAAACATTTAGCATATAGCAACAGAGAGCAGGAAAGATAGAGATAAAAGCGGCTAAGTACCCGGTGCATTTATGATTGTTGTTTTAGATCTACATATATATTGAAACTTGAATCTTTTCTTCTTAATTATTGATCATGGAGATAACATATCATCATATAATGCATATCTAAGATCTCTTAAGCTTAATTCAAGGGTACGGCGTCTCATTATTTATTCAAGACTTGGTAATTTAATCAACTTAAGTACTTTCTAATCTCTTCTAGGATTTAAATTCTGCTTTAGTTATATATTCTCAGTGAGGGGCTAGGTAGATTGCTATCGTAGATTATTAGTTATATGTTTTCCAACAACTTTTGTGTACAAATAGATGATTACACCGTGTGACCACCTGACATAGATTAAATAACCTCTGATCGACCAAATAACCACTAACCGATTAGTACTCATAAACGAGTGAGTAACCCTTAGCCTATCAAGTAACCCCTAACCGAGTAAATAACCCAACACTAACAAATTAATCCCTATAATGGTTGGTCACACGATATGACCGGTCACATATAAAAGTTTGTGAATTTTTATTAAGCTATAAGATCATATCGGTTAAAACACGAGTTTATTGAAAAACAATAGAAGAATATTACTCTGTAAATAATTTGAGCGGTAGTGAAATGAAAATGTATTACCGTTGTATTTTTATACTCTGTACTATTTTTTTATAAAATTATTCCTATTATTTGTGATTTTAATATGGGTTGAATTTTTAACTTGAAGGAGTATAATGCGACAATAGAGTTCTATTGGGCCCCATTGTTGGTGGAGTCCAATGCAGATGACCCATTTAAACATCGAGTTGGGGATAGAATAGCCAGAACTCAAGCCATTGAAATGCATGCCAAACATTGGACTCACGCTGACTTCCTCATCTTTGACTCTTATTTGTGGTGGAGAGTTCCTTTCATGAAAATCTTGTAAGTTACTAACTCCGCAGTGCACTCATGCTAAAACACGGGATTAATTCCATGCGCCATAAACAAACTTAGACAACATATTTGGAATAACTTCTACTACCTCCGTTAAATGTATGTGGAACTTTGAAATATTTTATATCTCATAAATAATACTCCAAACTTACCAGTAACATTTAACGGAGGTAGTATTTATTTTATAGGTTTATCATTTGGTAGTGTTAATCAATACAGTAATAGTCTGTTAATTGTATTAAGAAGAATGGATCTTGACTATTTATGTACAAATGTTCAGGTGGGGAACCTTTGAAAGTCCAGACGGAGTATACAAGGAAGTAGAAATGTTAAAAGGTTATGAAATGGCATTGAGGACTTGGTCTGATTGGCTGGAAATTCATGTCAACCATTCTAAAACTCAGATTTTTTGGATGAGCTTGTCTCCTACTCATGAAAGGTACAATTATGAAATTGTTACAATTTGATTATATATACATTAACAAAACATTAATCATTAATACTACCTCCGTTACAGGTTATGTGCAACGATTAGACATTTTTCCTCTCTGCTTTACGTCAAATCGTTGCACATAATCTGTAACGGAGGTAGTAATTAGGTTAAATCTTGACATAGGCTACATGTTTCGTAGTTGTGTGACTAGAATGCTAAAAATGTTGGTTGATAAGTGTTACTCCATAATAAATAATGTTAATGTTATAAATTCATTACCATTACCAATGTTTATTATTGTCTTATAAACGACCTCAACAGTTGATATCCTTACATGTTTATATTGATGCAAATTTACAGGAGTGAAGAATGGGGAAGTACAGGTAGTCCAAACTGTTACAACGAAACACAGCCAATAATGATGCAAGATTATTGGGGAAGTGGCTCAGACCCAAATATGATGAAATTAGTGGAATCAACAATTGAGAATTTAAGGAAAAAGGGGTTAAATATCGAATTACTCAACATAACTCAACTCTCGGAATATAGAAAAGATGCACACCTATCAATTTATAGAAAGTTTTATGATCCTCTAACAAAAGAACAACTAGCAAACCCTAGTGGTTATGCTGATTGCTTTCATTGGTGCCTTCCTGGTGTACCCGATACTTGGAATGAAATCCTCTACGCTTACATTTTTAGTTCTTTGTGACACGTAGAAAATATACATCATATAAGTAGGAATTGATTATTTTGTAAGAGGGGTAAGAAAGAATAACAAAGAACATTAATATACAAATTTATTTTATTTATTGACAACGTGTTAATTTTGTGTATAAATAGGCAAGAGGAAATTTAATTATTCTAACAAATTACACAATACTTTTGTTCAAGACTTCATTTTCAACATGACCAATGCTATTTTCTTGTAACTTCTTTCAAATTTGAAAAAGAAAAATGTTTTTTATTTGCTAATGATGTTTTAGAGGCCATATTATTTCTCATACAAACCAATTCTATCAGCCATAGAGTAATTCTGAACAAAATAAACAACTTTTTTTTGTATAAGTCGTCGGGCCTTTAATAATTTTCTTCTTATAACTAGCTTGTGTTTTTTTTTCCTTAGGTTTTTTTTTGTATATAAATTTTATTATTATATAGTATCGTGATTGAATTAGTCTTCCCCGGATTGTTTGTGAAGTGAATCTTTGGTTGTTTTTGCATAGCTCAATCAGTTTGGGTGATGACAAGGTCAGTCATCGCTGTTAATAATCAATATCTTGAAGAAGGCTACTCATCTTTGATGTTTAGGTTAAGCAAAATCTTCCATTTTCTTGCATTCTCTGTTGGTAGAGTTGCAAGAGGAGAACCTGCATTTGGATGCACGGTTTCTCATAGAGTCGTTACAGTATATGACTCTTTAGGTTTTGTTTCCAGACTCCTAGGATGCATTTATGCTTTTTGATCCCTAGGAGTGGAATGGTGTCATAGGTTTGTTCTTCAGCAACAGGATGCATATTTCGGGTTCTTTCGTCTCCTAACAATTTCCATCTGCCACTTTCGGTTAATGTTTGTGATTTGCGCTCTTGGTACATCTCGAATGTTTCAATTCATTTGGCTTCTCTTAGTCCACTATTTGGATGTGATTTGGTTTTCTTGGTTGTCCAGGCTCCGCAGTTATTGGTTTGCTGCAAGATAATGCCAGTATTTTGTTCTCTTCGTTCTTCCTGTAATAGTATTTAGTGTGTGTCTTTTAGTGTTTAGGTTGTAATACTGCTTTTCTTTAATAATATCTTTTGTCCAAAAAAAAAAAAAAAAAAAAAACTAAGGTGGTCACGGTGGGTTCATGGATAAATAATTTAGGAAAATTTGATTCTAATAATCCAACCTTTGCATGGTCCTATTTTATTAAACATTTTGATTATTCCACAATAATCCAAGCTTTAGGGGGTGTTCTATTCTATTAGGCCAAGCAGGTCCCTTAACCTGCAACAATAAGTCACCTGCAATGTGTCACATTATTATTAGTCTAAATATATTTTTGATTTAAAATTTAATATTAAAGAAAAAAAATCCTTTTTTTCCTTTTCTTCTTTATCTTCATCTTCCTCCCTTTCTACACCTCCATGAATGGACCAGCGAAATCTCCGCCCACCACACCTCCACCAACCGCAGGCAGCAAGGAACCCTATCCCACCAGCCACCAATCGCCCGCAACAACGACAACAACCAGCCACACCACTTCTTCCGCGGCAACACCAGCCGCGCACAACTCCCACAACATCATCCCATAACTCCAAACCCATAGACCTTACTACAAGCACCTCCTACAACTCCAAACACATCCTAATACCGCAACAACCTGTAAGGGGTCAACCTAGGCCTTTGATCACATATGCTCGAAGGAAGCCCAAGAAGAATAAATCTAGCAACTTGATGATGAGTGGGAAATTCTGTTATAAAGTTTGTTATGGGTTTTAGGGTACTTTGGTAATTGTGGGAAATAAGTTTGTTATTCTTAGCTGCAGAAGATGCTAGATGCTAAGTAACTGGTTATATATAGGAGTTTTTGTAATAAAGAAAGCATGCTGAATATTGATTAGAGTGAAGTTTGTTGGAGAGATCCTTCCTCTCAAAAGAAGTAGAGTTGTATTTCATAACTACACTGATTATCAATACATCATACCATTTGAGCTTCCTAATCTTCTGTGTATTGTGTGTGTGCTCTGTTTTTCTGACCTGATTCCTAGCAATTTGGTATCAGAGCAACCACGATCCTCGTCGGAGTAGAAGATGGCTCGACTTACCCATGGGCAGAGTTTGGATCTCTTGGAGCAGGAGATTGCAGGTGTTCCTGGCCGCGTTGCTCAAGAAATCACTACAACTTTGGTGGCGTTTAAGGCGGATCTAACATCTCAGTTCGCTGCTAGCCAAGAGAAGAACCGAACGGAAAATCATGCGTCTGGTGTGAATGGGTCTTCATTTCAATAGGACAACCCGTTTGTCGGTGCACCACCACAGTTGGAGATGCAGAACGGTGGTCTCCATGGGTGTCAATCGAATTGGAAGGTGAGGAAACTTGACTTACCCATTTTTTATGGAGCTAATCCAGATGGCTGGATCTTCAGGGCTGAGCGATTTTTTCATTTTTATTGGCTCAGTGAGGAGGATCAAATGGAGGCGGGGGTGGTGGCTCTTAACGGCGATGCCCTGCTTTGGTATCAATGGGAGCATCGTCGCCACCCGTTACTGACTTGGGATTCATTGAAGAAATTGATACTCCGGCGATTTCGCACCACCGCAACGGGAACACTGCATGAGCAATGGTTGGCTCACCAGCAAACCGGCACAGTGGCCGATTATCGACGACGATTCATCGAGCTACTAGCTCCCCTTGAAGGTGTTCTAGAAGAAATTGCGAAAGGGCAATATATAAATGGGTTGGAGGAGAAGATCCGAGTGGAGGTCCGGATCCTGGATCCGGTTACCTTGGATCATGCTATGGAATTGTCTATGCGGGTCGAGGAGAAAATCCGGGTCAGCCCAAAACCCAAATCTGGAGGAGGCCCACCCATTTGGAAAACACCTTACCCAACCCAACGTTACAATCCCACTAACCCCAACCAAAACACGATCCCAAACCTAAACACAATCCCGAACCTAAACACAACCCCGACCCAACACCATTCCACCCAATCTCAGCCAAATCGCCTCTCATACAACCACCACAACAACACCGGAGGTATAATTAAGGAGGTTGTCAGAGAAGGAGGTGCATAAAAAACGCGAGCAAGAGCTATGTTTCCGATGCGATGAGAAGTGGAACTTGAACCACCGATGCCGTCGCCGGGAACTAAGCGTGCTTCTAACTGTTGAGGAAGACGAGGATGACGGTGGCGCGTCAGGTGAGCTTGCTACTGTTGAATTTTTAGCTCCTACCTCCCCTGTTTCTCCTACTTCCCATATTTCTCCTACTTCCCATGTTTATTCTCTCCCTCTTGAACTGCAACCGGGAGTATCTATTTGTTCGGTCATAGGCATAACCAGCCCTAAGACTATGCGTTTGGTGGGGACCATCAACGAGGGCAAGGTGGTAGTAATGGTGGACCCAGGAGCCACACACAATTTCATCTCCACCATGGCAGCAACCCATTTGAATATACCCATCTCCGATTCTAAGCAATTTGGGTTCACCTTGGGAACGAGTGAGACTGTTCAAGGAGAAGGGATGAGTAAGGGGTACTGTTAAAGCTGTAGGGATTCTCCATTATTGAGGATTTTCTAATTTTACCTATGGGAAACTCGGATGTGATTCTAGGCGTCCAGTGGCTTGAGAAGTTGGGCACAATTGCCTCGAATTGGAAGAATCAGACTCTGAAATTTCAAGTAGGGGGAGAAATGGTGACCCTCAAGGGGGACCCACAATTGGAAAGGACCTGCATTTCACTAAAGGCAATGGTTAAGACCTTGCAAAGAGAAGGACATGGTGTTTTGGTGGAGTTCAATCAATTGGATGGGCAGTAGGGGAATGACACTCATGTTCCTGCCCCTCTCCAACCTCTCACTGATAGGTTCTAGCAAGTGTTTCAAATGCTGGAAGGGCTGCCTCCCACCAGAGACATTGAGCATGCCATAACCTTGAAGAATGGGACTAATCCCATTAGTGTGCGGCCTGTACCCTCAGTACCAGAAAGATGAGATTGAGAAATTAGTACAGGACATGCTCAAGGCTGGAATTTTTCAACCCTCTTCTGGTGCCTGTTCTAGTCTGGTTCTTCTAGTTAAGAAGAAGGACGGTTCATGGTGTTTCTGTGTCGAACATAGGGCCCTCAATAAGGAGACAATCCCCACCAAATTTCCTATTCCGGTGATCGACGAATTACTTGATGAACTCCACGGTGCTAAGGTGTTCACGAAATTGGACCTCAAGTCAGGTTACCATCAGATCCGTGTGAAGTAAGAGGATGTGCCTAAGACAGCGTTTCGCACTCACGAGGGGCATTACGAATTCCTCATAATGCCTTTCGGGCTTACAAAAGCCCCAACTACTTTTCAATCCTTAATGAACGAGGTGTTCATACCTTTTCTCGGGAAGTTCATTTTGGTGTTTTTCGATGATATACTCATCTATAGTCGGTCTATGGATGAACACTACTCCCACTTGCATCAGGTTTTTCAAACTTTGGCTTCGCACTCCCTCTATGCTAATATGAAGAAGTGTGACATTGGAAAGGAAAAAGTAACCTACCTCGGCCATGTTATTTCAGCTTTGGGAGTGGAAGTTGATGCCTCGTAAATTCATGTCATAGTTAACTGGCCGGTTCCTATGAATCTCAAGGACTTACGTGGGTTCTTAGGTCTTACGGGCTATTACATAAAATTTATCCAAGGTTATGCTGCAATAGCAAGGCCCTTGACTGACCAATTGCGTAAAGAGTGTTGGGGATGGACTGCTGAAGCTACTCAGGCCTTCGAAGCTCTGAAATTAGCCATGACCAGAGCACCTATTTTGGCCATGCCTAATTTCTCATTGCCCTTTATCATTGAAACTGATGCCTCAGGCTTTGGGTTAGGGGCATAGCATATTACAGTAAAGTTTTGGGTATTCGGGCTAGAGCAAAGACAATTTATGAGAAGGAGTTAATGGGGATTGTGTTTGCTATAGAGAAATGGAGGCACTATTTGTTAGGAAGGTAATTCATAGAGCGCACTGACCAGAAGAGTTTGAGGTTCTTATTGGAACAAAGAGAGGTGGGGCATGCTTATCAGAAATGGGTGAGCAAGCTTCTTGGTTACACTTTTGATATACACTACAATTCGGGTCCTACCAACAGGGTAGCTGATGCTCTGTCAAGGCAACAACAACCTGAGGTGGAGTGTGCCACTCTAGTAACAACTTGTGGGGTGAGTTGGGAGTATATCAAGTCATTCATTGACAAGGATTTGGGGCTGCAGAAGCTGACTTCTCAGTTGCAGGAGGGTGGTTCTGCCCCAAAATGGTTTTCTATTGAAAATGGGATGCTTAGGTACAAGGGAAGGATAGTAATTCCTAACAACTTTGAGCTCACGGCTAGGTTACTTAAGGAGTACCATGATTCACCAGTTGGAGAGCATGCTAGAGACTTGAAAACTTATCAACGTTTGGCAGCCGAATGTTATTCATCAGGCATGAGGAGAGATGTAGCAGGTTATGTCAAGCAATGTCATGTTTGTCAGCAGAACAAGACATCAACTCCCTCTCCCTTGGGGTTGCTTCAACCCTTGCCTATTTCGGATAAGGTATGGGAAGATATATCTATGGACTTTGTGGAGGGTTTACCTAAGTCCGGAGGGTGGGATTCAATCTTAGTAGCGTTTGATCGGCTCACAAAGTACGGTCACTTCATACCATTAAAGCATCCTTACACAGCTCAAGGGGTGGCTCATTGCTTCATGAAGGAGGTTGTTAGACTCCATGGCATTCCCTCTTCTATTGTCTCAGATCGAGACAAAGTGTTTTTGAGTGTGTTTTGGTCTGAATTGTTCAAACTTCAGGGTACTCTATTGCGTAGAAGCACATCCTTCCTACCACCCCGAGACAGATGGACAGACTGAGGTTCTTAACAAGGGCGGTGAGTCTTACCTTCGTTGCTTTGTTAATGGGAAACCTAAGTGCTGGGATTCTTGGCTTCATTGGGCATAATATTGGTACAATACGGCTTACCATACAGCCACACATTGTACTCCATTCAAGGCACTATATGGGAGGGACCCTCCTCATTTAGTGCGCTTCACCCCTGGTAGTACTTCTATCTCTTCTATTGAAGATCAACTGTTGGAAAGAGATGCCATACTGGATGAACTGAAATTTCATTTGGTTCAAGCTCAATGCTATATGAAGCAATATGAAGTCAAGGGTAGAAGAGAAGGTGAATTTCAGGTTGGAGATATGGTGTATTTGAAGTTACAGCCATACAGACAACAATCTTTGGCAAAATGAAAGAATGAAAAGCTGTCTCCTAGGTTCTATGACCATGCACAGTGCTGCAAAGGGTAGGGAAAGTGGCTTACGGCTGCAACTACCTGACTCTGCCAAAATTCACCTAGTTTTTCATATATCCCAGCTGAAAAAAGACATTGGAACAGGACACTTACCCTCTCAGCTTCCTTCTTAACTTACCTCTGACTTGGTTCTTGATGTGGAACCTGAAGCAGTGCTTGGAGTGAGGTCTTCTCACCAGGCGGTGGAAGTTTTAATCAAATGGAAAGGGTTGCAAGAGTTTGAGGCTACTTGGAGCAATTCTCTGAGATAGATGACAGATTCCCTTCTTTCCACCCTGAGGACAAGGTGCATGTTTGGGAAGGGGGTATTGCAAGGGGTCAGCCTAGGCCTTTGATCACATATGCTCGAAGGAAGCCCAAGAAGAATAATTTTAGCAACTTGATGATGAGTAGGAAATTCTGTTATAAAGTTTGTTATGGGTTTCAGGGTACTTTGGTAATTGTGGGAAATAAGTTTGTTATTCTTAGCTGTAGAAGATGCTAGATGCTAAGTAACTGGTTATGTATAGGAGTTTTTGTAATAGAGAAAGCATGCTGAATATTGATTAGAGTGAAGTTTGTTAGAGAGATCCTTCCTCTCAAAAGAAGTAGAGTTGTATTGCATAACTACACTGATTATCAATACATCATACCATTTGAGCTTCCTAATCTTCTGTGTATTGTGTGTGTGCTCTTTTTTTCTGACCTGATTCCTAGCACAACCCTTACAACGCACAGCGTAGCAACTACCGCAAAACACAACAGCCGCACCGCCAGCTTCGCCCACCAACAACCCCTTAAATTACACCGTACCATTCACCACTGCAAACATCATTTCGCCACCAATTGCAACAATTTTGGCCTGTAATTGCAGTAATTTGAAAGGAGCATCTTCAATCTTCGACCAATTGAAGACCCATAAGGTGCTCTCATGAAGAACGGTGACACGACACCCAAAAAGAGAGAGGGAAGGGGAGAGATTGGCCGGAAAAGGGAGGTCATGGGGGAGGGGATGGAGTAACCGGAAATAGGAGGGGTTGCCGGACGGGGATTCAAGCTGCCGAAATCAATGGGGGAAGGGAAGGACTGATATCAATTTTTTTTTAATTTAAAACTAAAAATGAATTAAAAACATTGAAAATGAAAAAAAAAAATAAAAGAAATACCTGAAGAATAGGTAGCAGGTCACAATGGCCTAATAAAATAGAATACCCCCTAAAGCTTGGATTATTGTAGAATAATCAAAAGGTCGAATTAATAAAATAGGACCGCGAACAGGTTGGATTATTAGAATCAAATTTTCCAATAATTTAATACATCAAAGTCTCAAAGGTGGAGATATTTTAACTATAATTGTCTTGCAAACAAGTCGTGTACTAGCTAGAAAATGTTGAGGCTTTGGAAGGTCTGAAATTTGATACTACTATCCATTTAGGTTTATTATTTTCTTAATTAGATAAAATGTATTGTCGATACATCGTTATTTTCATTAATAAGTTCCCTTCCCTCTCATAACTTTCTTTGTAGCGTAGCCTAGCTATTATTTGAAAACTTCACACTTAGAATAGGCTTCTTACTTGAAAATGATTGTCATGCACGTTTTTGGAATTGAAGCATGGTTTGCATGAGCGTACCACGTGAATTCTTCAAATTAGATTTTACAGATTAATTGATGTATTTGTAAATTTGAAGCATACATGTATACCACATTATTTTTCAGATTAGATTTTACACATGAATTAAATATAGTTGACGGCTATTGCTGAAATAACATGCTACAGTTAAAACAAATGGTGTAGAAATAATATGTACTGGAATGATACCTAGTTCGAGCAACTTATTTGATTAGTTACAGTAGTAATTAAGAGCTAATTTTGGCCAGGCCAGAACTTATACATGCTATTTCCAATTTCCAAACGTTGTGATAGTCATATTAGTCAAGCAGCTTTAGATGAGAGGGCAAGGAATCAAATCAAGAATGTCATGTATAATGGAAAGTTTAGACATATTTCTAATTATCTATACTTATAATTCACCTGAACTTATCTACAATAATTTATTTATTTATCTAGAAAGCAACTTATCTACAATAAATTGAATAAAGTGAAAGTAATGTGAATAGAAGTTTGTCAAAAAAAAAAAAAAAAAAAAGTGAACAGAATGAAGTTGTTGAACAATGCCAAACAAATACAATTGCATTTAATTTAGGAAAAATACACTTTAATAATTTAACTATAGGCGATTTACTTCAAATAATCTCAACTAAAGTTTATTATTTAACAATCCTAACTATGATAGATGTTTGCCTCCAATGGTCCTAATGACCGCTAACCTGTTGAAAGAGTGATTTTTTTTTTGTTGGTAATAATCGTCACATGTCAACACGTGATTGACCCAAAAATAATAAAAAAAATAATACATTCAAAAAAAATCCAAAATTTCCCCAGCCACCTTCCCACCACTTCCAAACCCTAACCCTTTCCCTAACCTTGTCTGAAAAGTTCCCGGCCACCCCCTTAACCAACAAAAACCAGTCGGCCTGCCCTTTAGCACCGTACCCCACCCGACATACCGTCGATCCCCAAAACCATCTACCCAACCGGCTCGATCCAAAAACCACTAACCCATCTCCGAAATTATGCGCCCTCTCCTTTCCTCCGCCGCAAAATTCACCGTTCCTCCCTTTCTCCACCCTCGAAATCGGTTGTTTCAACGATGGGGGAAGGAAGGAGGGGCGGTTTTGGCGACAGAGGAAAAGAGAAGGCCTAGTATGGAGGTTCGTATTGGTAGTTTTTAGGATCGGGGTAGGCTGTGTGGGTGTTTTGGGAGTCAAGGGTGGGTCAAGTACTCTCAGGTGGAGTGGTAAAGGGTCAGCCGACTGATTTTTGGTGGTTAAGGAGGTGGCCGACCCTTTTCCAGCGAGGTAAGGGGAGGGGCTAGGGTTTAGCGGTGGTGGAAGATGGCTAGGTAATTTTTTTTGGGCCAATCACGTTTTAACACATGTCATGGTTACCTAGTATAACAGGTCGTTGACTAGGTGTTAATCGGTTGAGACCATTGGAGACAAACACTAGTTGAGATTATTAGATAATAAACTTTAATTGAGATTATAAAAAGTAAATCGTCAATAATTTAGATTATTAAAGTGTATTTTTCTTTTAATATAATCAAATATTTTGTATACTTTATCAATAATTGTATTGCTTAAAAGCCTTAAACCCATTAAAGTAAAATTTTAGTAAAGTAAACCAAAAATTACTAATTTATTGAAGAACATATTCTCAGTAAAGTCAGTACTATGATTCAAATTCAACCCTTAATTAATCAAATAATCAACAAATAAGATACAGTCTTCGTCTAATTCTTCGAGTTTCCATTACCAGTCACTGTCGGTAAACGTCAATTTAGTGCCATATTTAATTTTCAGGACAAAATCCAACATTCGAATCTCTACTACTTCTTCCCTCTCACTTTCTCTCTCCTTACATTTCAGCAGCTATGGTGCAAGGCTGGAAATGGAGCAGGAGAAGGTCTCACTTACCTCTTATTTCTCTTATCTTTATGCTTTTAATTACTGTTACTGTTCTTTTCAACGAGTTCAGAATTCACGAGTATCAACCCCAAGATCATAACCCTCATCTTCAAAATACCCAGAATTCATCTCCAGGTTTGTTGTGTATAATCACTAATTTTCTTCAATTTCTTGCTTTTTTAGTGGTGAATTTTTGTGGGTTTGTTGAAATTCTGTGTTTTGAGTGATGGGTTTGTTGAATTTGTTAAAATGGTGGCTGAATTTTGGTGGGTTTCTTGTGTTTTGTAGTGTTGGATAACTTGTGTTTGTGTTTATGTTTTGCCCTAAAGGTGAATTTTTCTGAATTGGGTGTTGCAGTTGCGTTGGATGGATTCACTACATGTAGCTCTACTGTAGAGTACAATGGAGGAGAAGTGGGGTGGGGTAGAAGTGACCGGCATTCGCCGGTTTCGGGTGGTATCAAGGAGTGTGATGTGTTTACAGGAAAATGGGAGTTTGATAATGGATCATATCCTCTATACAATGAGTCCCACTGTCCTTACATGTCTGATCAGTTAGCTTGTCATAAGCATGGAAGACCTGATTTGGGGTACCAATATTGGAGGTGGCAGCCAAATGACTGCAACTTGAAAAGGTAACTGTTATGAATGATTGATGAGACATTGAAATATTGCTGTTTTTGAGCTTAGGTTTGTGAATTATGGTTGTTTTTCACTGAATTTGATGATGGTTTGGTTTGGTGTTGTTAACAGATGGAGTGTTACTGAAATTTGGGAAAAGCTGAGAGGGAAGAGATTAATGTTTGTGGGAGATTCACTTAATAGAGGGCAATGGATCTCTATGGTGTGCTTGCTACAGTCAGTGATTCCAGCTAACAAGAGGTCTATGTCCCCAAATGCTCATCTTACTGTCTTTCGAGCAGAGGTATTTTATAGTAGTTCTCTATTTGAATGTTCCTTTCATGTGTGTTGGACTTGTCAGCAATGTTAGTCGGACTTGGGTACTTTAATATTGTACATGTGCAGTAGCAAATTTATTAATATTGTGTAAAATTCTCATTCAAAATGAAGTGTAAGTGTCCGTATCTGTGTTGGACTGTTAAGGATCTTTTGCAGTAGCTAATTAACATCCCATTTATAATTTATGGAACTTTGAGTTCTTGATTTGAACACCCTCTGTTATGCAGGAGTATAATGCTACAATTGAATTTCTATGGGCTCCTTTACTTGTTGATTCAAATTCCGATGATCCTGTGAATCATAGGTTAGGTGATCGAATAATCCGTCCAGATTCAGCTTCAAGGCATCTTTCCAAATGGGAGAATGCTGATATACTTGTATTCAATACGTACTTATGGTGGAGACAAGGACCGGTAAAGCTGTTGTGAGTATGATCCTTTTTTAATCTTTGGCACAGATTTAAGTTCTGGCCAAGAGCTAAAATTTAATTGTCATGCATTTTATTAATCATCAGGTGGAGCAGTGAAGATAATGGAGTTTGTGAAGAGTTGGATGGTGTACGAGCCATGGAGTTGGCCATGAAAACCTGGGCTAAGTGGGTGGATTCTAATGTCAATCCTCTCGAGAAGCGAGTGTTTTTTGTTACCATGTCACCTACACATATGTGGTGAGTGCCTAACCACCTTAATCATTTTATTGAACCTTGCTAATTAGTTTCAAATTGACCTGAGCATCCGACATTGGTTTCCTTTGCTTACAATTTTTGTCATTACTGAGTTATAGAAAAATCTGAAGGTTTTTTTTTCAGATGTTCACCTTTTGAAAGATAACTTACAGAGTTACAGTTTAGAGCAATAAATTAGCCTGGACTATTAACAGGATTACAGTTCAATTACATATTATATTCTCCTAACCGGAATACAATGCCATATCCTAGTCCTAGATACATATGTGAATGAATCTGTATCCCTTATATTATCTTATATCACCTCGTATTGCTTTATAATGATATGCTGTGATAGAAGGATAGTCACCCAAGGGAAATGGTGAACAAATGTCTTTTATTGTGTTTGGATGGTATGATGGTTCCTTGTGAATAAAGAGAATTTCTCTCTGGCACCACACGACTAATATTGTTAATCTATTGTTAGAGTAGCTTATGTATGTATATTTATAAACTATATGAAGCTTCTGAGTTTTGAAGCCAGCACCTCTACGGCACATGTATGAAATTGATTCATGATATTGGTTTCATAAAAGGTTGTTTGATAAATTCATAAATCTAAGACTTGGTGTTTTTTTTTTTTTTTTTTTTTTTTTAATTTATTCAATATGAGTTTCATTTTAAATGGTTGTCATAAGCAATAGACAATAGGAATTATTTTCCAGGAGTTGAATGCTACTCCTTTCATCTGTTTGTTTTACCTTTATTACTTGGTGGAAACTAAATGAAGTTATTGATTGGTACAATGGAGCCTAATACTGTTAAATACATTTTAACAAAGCATTTCAAGATAACTACTGGCACTTCTAGTCTTCCACACACCCTAGATAATTTCTCTGTCTTACTGTGTTATTATACGGCTTTAATGTTGTGTGTCAATCTTATGTAGTCGTCTTATAGTAAGATTAGTAACTATGTACTTAACATCTTTATAAAAAAAAAAAACTATTTACTTAATATCAGTAATGAAAGAAACAAAGGCATAAAACCATTAGAAAATCAATCAACAAATTCATTCTACAACTGTAGACTGATAGTAGGAACAAGACTAGTACATTTGAGTATATACAACTGTGATAATCTCCCTCTAAACAAAAAGGTATTTATAGTATGCACTGCATTGAAAACACCATAACTTCCTGAAGCTGTGAAGTGCTGTTAGTAAAGCCGTCTTATTTCAATAGATTTTGTTAAATAAATTAAAGTGTGCTAATGAGTGCACAGAAGCAGTTATTTCAATATATTTCTTCATTGCAATTTTCAAACATCATTTTATTGTCCATGCTCTGCTTTTGCTGCTGTATTTTTCATTCATGTTTTATGAATCTGCATGGTGGTATTGATGAGGAAACATTATTAATATCAGTCATATTGTCTAGGAAAGCGCATTTTTGTAGTCATCCTAACTTAATGAGGAAAGATCCTACCTATAGTTACATATCTGTCCTAGTTTATTGCAAAATCCCTTCATTGGCCAAGACTACCAATCTCTCTCATACTTCCTTATATGTACCACTAGCCAAGTATATCTTTCCATCTTGCGTCCAAGGTCTTGAGAGAAGTCAGAAATGTCACATCTATTGATCAACACTCATTTGAAATTTACCGCGCTACAGGTCCTTATAGTATGCTTTAGTGGACTCATCATTTTCAATTTTTATAAAGCTAGTATTACCAATTACTTCTGGCTAGGTCTCTTTTCCTCTCTTAACTGACCTCATCTTACTTTGTCTCCATTCAGGAGCCAAGAGTGGAATCCAGAAAGTCAAGGAAACTGCTACAACGAGAGTAATCCCATTATTCAGGAGAATTACTGGGGAACTGGTTCCGACTTGCAAACAATGAGTATCGTGGAGGATATCCTAAGTCGATTGGGATCAAAGGTCACAGTTCTCAACATCACTCAGCTATCTGAATATCGAAAAGATGGTCATCCTTCTATTTATCGCAAGTTTTGGGAAACGCTTAGTCCTGAACAGTTGTCAAATCCTGAGTCATATTCTGATTGTATACATTGGTGCTTGCCTGGTGTACCTGATGTATGGAATGAGCTGCTCTTCCATTTTTTGTAAGAAGGATACACAAAATTGTAATTAGCATATTCCATGAACACTACTGTTTACTATAACTAAGTCAAAAGTTTCACCTAAAGTTCATAGATATTCTCGAATATATGTGAATTATGAGGTTGATACACTTGGTTAAAAATCTGCTGTCAATACTACATAATTGTCTCAAATTTAGCCTACGAATCAAAGGATTTGCCTATGTTAGTTATCACTTTACTTGACCATCAGCTCTCAAATCAAGCATTGATTGCAGTTACAAATTGTTATACTGGTTCCGATTCTAAAACTCTAGCAATTGCACCAATTTGATGCACGAGTGGATAAATAATTCGGAAATCGGAACAGGCACATACCAAACTTAAGTCGACAATTACTCTTAACTGCTGTAATATGGAGTAGTTTATGATTAATCTTAACCTGGAAATCCTAATTAACAATTTCCACCATATCTGTTGTGTATCTTATCATTAAAGAGTTTGATTTACAATTTCATGTTTTTATCAATCATTTCTTGAATTCTTCTTCTATATCTATTGCTATTTTTTGCTGTCTTCTGAATCCTAACTAAGCTAGTTATAGCCAGGCAGAGAAAGTGAGAGTGTTAAGTCAATGCCTCCACCGCCAGTGCATCCATCACTTCCATTAAACTGAGAGTGATCTTCAGAAGCAACACCACCACTCGAGTTTTGAGTCACCACCCCACTGTTCAAGCCTAGAGTCACACCATCCTAGTACAAAATTGTAAGTAGAAAAATTCATGAGTCAAATACTCAAAATAAACATAAACTCTCTCAAATTTCAAGTAATCAAGAAAAATAAAATTAGTCTTAGAATGATACCTTCTTACTGATAGTGCCATCCTCCTCAACATGCCACCCTGCTTCATCACATAGCGCCTTCAAAAGATCATTATTATCAGCATGCTTAGGCAACTTGTAACCACCATGAGCTCGAAGCCCTTCAAATATTTTCCTAGTGATAAGGCGACGTTTCTTCTCCCTTTCCTTGTTATTCAGACGTTCCCTTTCACTAGGAAACCGTAGGGAACTAACAACACCCTTCTTCTTAGTGTTTCGACGTACAATCCAAGGCCCTTGAGTAGTCTTAATACACCCTCTTGCTTTGTGACTTTTCTTCATAACTCTCATACCTTCCATTTAGTGTTTTCTTTTCAGATAAAAGTTGAATTTGAAAGCACTCTGAACATTCTTGTTCCTTGTTGTCCTATTTATACATATAATGATGAAACAAGCTTTAACAAACTTATGTGAGAGTTTGATCAACGGTTGATGATAGTGTTACGATTAACGGACATGATTAAGTGAAGTTATATGTGTGAGTGTACTAAAGCTTACCATTGAGTAACAGAGAATGTTTGTTAATTAAAGTTGAGAGAGAAGAATATAAGTAGTACAAAAAATGCAGGGATTAACAAACATGCAAAAGCACAGGGTGTAATATTATGGCGGCTTGTTTTATTTTCTTAGCAAATGAGCATGTTGTATGAGCTTCAAACAGGTTCTTTCAGATTTTTTTGTAAGAAAAAGGTCTGGAAACGTATGATTTTCTGATGAAACTTTATGCTTTTGGGATAAAAAAACTACATAATTTTGATATTGCATATACTTTTTTTATTTAACAAAGTATATACTATTAGTTTGTTATGGTCATTTGGTCCAACTCAATAGATGGTTTTTGTACATATTTATGTACACGCGACTTAAGCATGTTAGTCTTGAAAATAAGGATTTTAAAAATGACTAATCGAGTAAAAATAAAAATAAAAAATGACTAATCGAGAAAGACTGGATCATGCATGTACGTGGAGGAAGAAGGCTATGGTTGCGTGAGGAAATTCAGATATAAAAATAAAAATACTCTTCACTTATTTAGACAAAAAAAACCTGAACCTGGTACAACAAGAGAACAAGTTCTTGTACTCTTAGAAGTATGCAAAGAATTCCAATTGTAGACTTTGGTTAATGTATCCCCTAGAAGACTAGAATCCTTTCTCAAAGATAGCCCTAAAAATGTGTTCTTTTGTGAGAAATAATTAACAAGCAAATGACAATGTTTTGTAAACATAATACTGAAGGTAAATCAATATGGTGTACATTAAAAACAACTTCAAAAAGTTAATTAAGAACGATCGATAATAGATAACCAAATTAGGTCTTGTTTAGTTCACCTTATTTTTACTAATTTCAGAAAAAATAAGTTCAGATCAGATCAAATCAGAAAAAATAAGTTAAATCAGATCAGAAAAAATAAGTTCATATCAGATCATCGTTTTATATGCAGTTTTTTATCGTTAAATACCTTTAAGGATTTTTTTTGAAATAACCACCCCTCAAATCACCCTATTTTAAAATAAACACCCCTTTTTTCGAATATTTAAAATAACCACCCATTAAAAAAAATAAAGTTAGAATTCACCCTCCATTGTCCAAGTCGGACCAATTTTCCGTCAAGTGGGCCCACCTAACAACTACTTTTTTCATTTTATATACTCAAAGCCTCGATTCTTTTTTCCTCACTTCATTTTTACATTTTCATAAACCTTGGTTTTCAATTTTGGGTGAAATTCATTGTCACATACAACAATAACAATTGAGTCAATAATTGAACATATAATTAGTAACAATTACTCGAACAACAACAAATAGATTGTTGCTCATTAATTAGGGCTTCCTTTGTTTATTTTGTTGATTTGCAGAAGAATTTAAGAGAATTTAGAGATTTTTCAATGATTTTTTTTAATTTTTTTAATGACCGTTGTTGGTGAAAATGAATTGAGGAAAAAAGAATCGAGACTGTGAGTATATAAACTGAAAAAAATAGTCATTAGGTGGGCCCAATTGTCGAAAAATTGGTCAGACTCAGGCAATGGGTGGTGAATTCTAACTTTATTTTTTTATGGGGTGATTATTTTAAATATTCGAAAAAAGAGGTGGTTATTTCAAAATAGGGTGATTTGAGGGGTGGTTATTTAAAAAAAAATCCTATCTTTAATTCGTAAAGAAAAAAATTATGAAAATCATATATTAATAAAATACACATTATTACGACTCTCACAAGACTTCACTTGATACATTTTTTCCGTATAGATTATTTAAGGTCAAAGTTTGATCAAATCCAACATTCAAATCAGATCAGCTCAGACCAGATCAGTTAAATAAAAATAAAGTAAACCAAACAGACCCTTACTCCCTTTATTTCAAAGTAATGGACATTTGGCTTTTCATAGTCATAGTACATTTAATCAACCAATCATTAAGAGAAACGGGAAAAGTGGAATATTGCAACTTTGTAAGAAAAAAATTACGGAGTACAATTAGACACAAAAGCTAAAGTCTAGAAAGAAGTGGATTTTATATTCTTAATATAAAAGTGCAAGCGTAATTATTATTTTAAAACAACTAAAATTAAAAATTGTGACCATCATATTTAAGCGGATGCTTCATCATTTATCAAAACGTGACTCCTAATTCTATGCGAAGTTAGAGGTGACTAGCTGACCAATTCTGGAGAACAAAGGCAACTCACAGTTGTTAACCAGCTTAACTTGAGCCTTAACTATTCTTGTCTCAAAGGGAAAGTGTTATAAGGAGCTATACTTTCATCCCTGTTTGAATGAACAGTTTGACTTATCCTTAAGAGGTAAAAAAAAATTAAAAAAACAGTGATAAACCTCCAATAATTCATTGCTGATAGTAATATGGAGTACAAAATGATAACTTCCATGAACTCTACACTCAGTTGATCCATCTCTTCATTTCCAAAATTACAAGGTTTTCTTCGTATGTACCTATTTTCTCTGTGTTGGGGGAGGGGCGGTTCCAAATAATACGCTGCATTTACACAATTAAAGATATTATTTAATTTTATAACTCATCAGCCCCTTTGCTGTACAAATTTGGCAATGTCCTGCAAGCATGACTCTGGCCGATTCTAGCAGACCCAACCTCCATCTAAATTGCTTGAAGTTGTATCAGGTGATTCAGGGGCAGTGTTGTGTTACATACTAGGTTGATTACAGCCATCAAGTTGCCAAGCTTAAAAAGGATGCTCTTAGCACCTTACATGTTTGTTGGACTAGCCTGGTTATCCCAGCAACTGTCTGTCATTCGCCTATGTTGATGGACAGAAACAAAGACCATCCTGCACTCCTGCAGGTTGTAAGTCGTGCTTTGTAGCTGAGAGACAGCTTGGAGAAGTGTCATCACTTGCGGAATTCCAAATAGTGTGATACACCCTCTTTTACTGACCAGCTAAAAATTTGAGCTCCTAAGATACACGCTTCATCTATTTCATATGTTGCATGGATGCTCCATAGATGTCAGAGCATGATATAAGAAGATTTAATATTAGAACTTGCTAGGGCTCATACAGGAACCTGGTTTCAGCTCCTGCTAATAATCACTGCAAAAAGTTCCCTACTTGTGAGCATCTGTGTTGACAACTAGACCAATTGGACCTAACCCAAAATTCTCAGATGAATATGAAATATGAAAATGGATAAAGGCAACATCTCAACTTACACAACAGTCAGGTTTTAGACGTCCTAGCCTTTAGGACCACCAACTATATGCAAAATCTTCTCCCTGAGCTTCTCGATTGTCTGTGTTACGTACGCCATAGTTTAGGATTGTGAGCATCAAAGAAAAAACAAAGAAATAAAAGTTATATGAAGCTGATGCTTACCGAGCTTGCACTCTGCTGCCATTTCTTAACAAGACCAAAGGCATCTTTGAGATGGGAACAGCAAGGATGATTGTATTTAAGGTAATATGTCGAATTTTCAGTAGCTTCCGCTACCCACATATGATTTGCATGATCCTTAGTTCTCTTCACAAGATTGCAGAAGCCAATCTGTTATCAAAAATTATGAAAACAAAAAACAAACTTGAGCTGCAAAATAAGCAAATTAGATCCTACTCTTCCAGAAACAGTTCAAAATAAGAACACTTATCTCAATTTTATTTATAAATAAATAAAGAAACGATGCAGTAAGAGTATACAAAGTTCAATATAAAAGAACATGAAAGTACTCTATATGGTAAAATAAATAAAAGTTAATAAAATAAAATAAAAAAGAAAGAAAAAGAAGCAGGGTATAATGAAAAGAACATTGACTGG